TGTTGCACTCTTAGCCAAATTTTGTCTGAAAACTTAGGCCAGTCCTAGAAAACATTAGCAGATTCTTCGATATTTCGGCAGACACAATGGTAGCATCGGCAAGTCGCCTGCTGTGACGTATATAATATCATATTCTAGGTTTGGTTTCCCTAGCTCTCCAGATAATGTGCTTAAGTCTTGCTCCAAAATCCGATAATATGCCTTTAGTCATGTAAATTTCCTCTAAATACTATTTATCTTAAGGATGTCTTTCATCTTTGCCAAGATGTTTCCTTGAACATCTTCTGACACTGATTTTTGTACGATAGTAAAGCTCTTACCTTCTCTAGTTGTACATTGTCATTTACACTTTCCTTTAGATTTCCAAACAATAATTCTCTCCTTTGTCTTAATCATTTTTGTTATGTTCCTCCCTCATCCACTGCACTCAGATCATCACCGTTATATCCATTTCTGTTTTCTTTTGTTCTGCTACTCTATCTTGTGTCCCTTGGGTACACTTTGTACATTGTGCTTAAAACCTCAGTGGGTTAAGGTGCCCAAGTACTGATCTAGTTCTTGTATTATCTAGTATTATTAAGTTATTTGAAGTTCAAGCCTCTTTGGTGCTGCGAGTCATTAGGATTCTAATTGTTCTGAGCACACGGGAGGAGGTGGCAGTCTCTAGAACCTTGTAGGTCGAGGTTATGTGTCACTTGATGGCCAACAGATTGTGTGTTAGTATTTTTTTCCTGCCTCCATTGCTCAACTTCTGCTTTCTTCTTCTGCTCTGCATTGGTGAAAGCGCCACTCCTGGATGTATCAAGTTAGCTAGTTATATCCCCAATCTCTTTTATTGTATTTCTGTTTTCATTCATATTATCGCTTTAAAGTTTATCTAAATTTAAACTCCATGTTGAAAAGTCTATCTTATTTTATATTTCCCTCAGGATTCCCCACGATAGTTTTCTCACTCGCAGCAGCACCTAAATGATCACTTCCTTCAGCCCAGTTAGCACGTAGTATAGGGACTTGAAAGCAACCCATTGCCTAATACAACCCTTAAACAATTTCTTGAGTTCAATAACATTTCTGCAACCTTAGCGGCATTGTGAGGAGTAATGAAAACATTAATACTAATACAGAAGTGTATAATTATCATATCACCACAAATCCTGGAGGTACATATCACATATACTTCTTCATCGCCTTGGGTTTGCGACTATAGCTAGGAATCTTTTCTACAGCTCTATCTTTGACTTTTCTTTGGACCCTGACCTTGCTGCCCATTCCTACAAAAGGTTTTGTTTAAGTAGAAATGTTTAACTACATAAAATAAGTCCATACTTTAACTCAACTCTTTGAGAATAACCTCGGCCTTTTTTATAAGATAAAAAACAGGATACTCTTCTATATATTACTAAATTATCTTAAATTTAGTTTCCCCTCTGTTAACAATTTTACACAATTAAACATGTTGAAGATATAAATAAATTAATCACAAAACCCTATGATACAAAATATCACATATTTCCATTCATACAAATGCCACTCTATGTATATCCACAAAACAAAATAAAAATAACAGCAAGGACCTTTGTTAACATCAATTGATAGACTTACAATCTGCCTACTCTGCGGAAGGCAACTTACACAGCCTCTTGAAGTTGTTTCAGCCTAGAGACTGAGAAAATGATATATTTGAAACTTATTTCAACACAGGTATTTTTTCTTATTTCAAAGCAATATGGATTAGTATATGTCTATAGAATCTTGGGTATTTAAAGCATTCTTGTTACATAAATGCATAAAGTGACCCTCTATCTCACCTAAAATATAGGTGTAAAAAAATCAATCCTTCTGCTTGACATCTGAAGTTGGCCAAGATGGCGTCCCAGGATTATTGGAACAATAATCCCTTATGTCATTACATTATTAGGTCACTATGTCAAGTTCAAACTTAATATAAATTCACATAAGATTAATTCAGATCTCACAAGTTCATGGTAAACAATTCCACATAACAGAATAAGAGTAAACAAAAGGTACAAGAGCTTTCTTATAATAAGGGGTCTCTTGTATAAGTATATTTCTCCCTTGCATACACAATGTATATGCCTAATTTTTTTAGTTATACCAGAAAATACACAAAATTAGCACATCGAGTTAAATATACCATGCCAACACCAGATAAATTTCGGTGTACATACTTCTTGGCACCCCGAAGCATTACACTAATTTTTTTTTTTAATCATCCCCAGGGCCTTCATCTTTTGGTTTAATAGTTCGTGTTTCTGAATACCCATTCTAATAATATAGTTATCCTTCTTATTCTGTCCGAACTTTCAGCAATCTTCCATTTTTTTTTCTATCAGTGTCTTCTTATCAAACTTTCTTTCTTCTTCGGTTGGCTTCTCCCTCTATACTATTCATCATATTAAACTTATCTTCTCGTTCTAGTGTACTCACCTTCCCCCTGTCTTTCAATCATGAAACATCAGCATTTTTAATATATACCTTT